TTTTTTTTTTGGGGGGGGGGGTTCTTATGAAAAGTATAGTGTCATGGGCCCCAAAACCCTATTCTAGTTATCACGGCCCCTGCAGCAGTACGTGTAGCAGGCCTTGAAATTCCCCGGTATAGAGCCTCTATGACCGAGCGCAAGGCCACCTGCTTGTGGATGTAGAAGAATCTCGCCCTCGGCAGCGAGCATTTACGAGCAATATAGGTAGTTCTCTAAATTAGGGTCCTTTTTATAAGGGTGCCGTACTATATTGGGGACCTAAAGAGGGGACCCTAATTTAGAGAACTACCCATATAGGGGCCTTACTAGTTACAGTAGGGTTTTGGGGCCTTTGATACGAGAGTCATAATAAGGAGCCCCAAAGTAGTTATTTATGCCCCTACATTGGGCTGGAGGAGGACGACGAAGATGACGGCAGTGCGACGGCTGCTACTACCCTTACTACTGCTGTTGCAGGAACAGCCATTACCACTGCCGGCGCTCAAGCAATAAGCATTCGGAATGCCCTGACATAGGGGCCTTACTAATTGCAATGGTGTTTTGAATACATTATACGATACTTATATCTTCTTAGGAAATTCATTTAGGAATAGCGCTACAGGTAACTGCGATACTTAAAATAGGAAACCCTACATGGAATAGTACTATAAGCCTATATAAGCAACTACTCCGTCCCTGTATCAGGGCTCCGGCCAGTGCTTTGATGTGAGCCGCTGCCCGCTCAAGGCCTGTCTGCTCAGATGGTTGAAAGGGTGCCCGGAGCCTAGGGCTGAGGGTTCAAGTCCTAGGGCTGAGAGGGCCTAGGGTTCAGGGCTCAAGTTTTTGGGCTTAGGGCTTGGGATTTATATAGGGGTTTGGGGTTTGGGGTTCAGGGCTATGACGGCTTAGGCTTCACGCTTCCGTGAAAACATCAGGGGTGAGATGTAAGCGCCAGTGGAGAGCTTGGAAGTAAGCTTCAGCTCAGGACGCTGTCAGTGCATCAGGCGGCGGGACCCTAAGATGTCCTTAACCAGTCAGTGCCTGAGTGTATGCAGATACAGGAGTTTTACTTTTGAGGTTACAACGAAAAACATGTCTTTGCTTTTGTCAAGTTTAGTTTGATAGAACAAATGGCAACTAAATCCATCCAGCAAAAGGTAGATTACCAGCAAACTATCATCGGACAATTTGTCCTGACACTTTTCCTGCTTCAGTCGCCAAGCGCGCCCCTCAACGCCAAACCCTGCATCTACATCCGTGCCTGCATGTCATGTACGCATGTGTGCTTGTATGGAGGGACGAGTCTCTGTCTGCATCACACAATATAGTATAGTATAGTATAGTATAGTATAGTATAGTATAGTATAGTATAGTATAGTATAGTATAGTATAGTATAGTATAGTATAGTATAATATAGTATAATATAGTATAATATATGGTTGTAACCCACAGGTACAACCAAACAGAAAGAAAATAGCTTTGTTGCTACACACATGATAGAAGCGTACACACGCCTTGCGAAGCCTCGCACCTTTGTTTCAAGGTCGATTTCGCCTCAGCAGAAAAGCCTGCAACTCAACCCGCAGCTTCGGAATTCCATGCACGAGGCCTAAACTGCAAGCCCTACGCGCTGACACCTCTACCGCACACCAAATTGCAACAAACCCCAAAACCTCAAACCCCACAACCCTAAACATGGCTCAAACGACCCAGAGTTCTGCACCCCAAACCCCGAACCCAAAACCCCGAAGCACCCAATGGCCAAAACCACAACAATCCACACCTGCTGCACGGCGTGCTTGAAACCGCTCCGGGATCTGAGTGGGCTGCTTTGCTGGCAGCGCCTGGAAGAAACAAAGAAAAACTGTGTGCGGGCTGGGGGTGTTTAGAATGGGCTTGAGGGTTCAGGCAATTCCGTCGAAGTAGGATCCTACCTTAGGGTTCAGGGCTTCGGGCTTCGGGTTTAAATTAAACTTTAAGGGCTTACAACTTACAACGGGTTCTGCTTTGGGATTTGGGGGTTCCTCTTGGGCTTCAGACTCAGATTGGCTTGATGAGGGTGTACACCTGAAACCCCTGAACCCCGCCGCAAAATCCCGGGCTCCCCGCCAAACAAAAAGATCCCCAAGCGCGCGCTCCGCTGCTTCGATCGCCTTTCGAGAATTGCGGGGTCTTTCAAGCCAATATAGGGGTCTTCATAAGTATAGAACGGGGCTTCAGGGTATGGGATATGCTAGCTCTAAAGGGGGCTCTAAAGGGGTACCACTGCTAATCAGACCTCTGCGGCAAAGAGCACTGACTCAATGACCCGAGAATGTGAGACTGTGGGTTTAGGGTTTAGGGTTGATATAAGGATTTATGGCTTAGGGTTCGAAGTTTCGGGATGACGGGTTAGATAGAAGGTAACTACTGCACTACATTTGGGAGTTTGAATCTTGGCGTTGATGTCTAGATGGACCTGGAACCGGCCGGAAGTCGCACGAACCATGGCTGACTTGGTGTACTAGTGCAATGTAACAGCAACAGGAAGCTAATGGCGAAGGCCGGGGTCGCAATTCAACCAACATGTGTTCCAAGAAAAACGATCTGCTCTGCTTCGCAGAACCACTATAGGGAGTCCTCAACCTGGAAAACGGATCTCTATGGAAGCTTGGAAACACTAGCAGAGATCTCAAGCTCGACCATAACATGTAATCCTTGTTCGAGATCTTCTGACTATGAACACAGAATCGGCTATCCAACATGCAAAGATAGGTCTAAACCCAAACCCTTGAGCCTTCAAAACCTCCATTCTATGTCATCTCGCCTCGTTTGGGCCTGCAGACAGTGCTTTCTGCACGGCCAACAGCGCGGAAGCAGCCTCTTGTGCAGACTACAATGCAAGCGCAACGTTGGGATGCATGCCTAAAGCCTATGCTTAACTCTGTGTGTATGTGTGTCTATATATATATATACATATAAATGTGTGCGTGTGACGGCCCCAATTACCGTGCAACTTGGAACATTGTAGCGCCCCAGCACCCGCCAGGGGTGCGTCTGCCGGCTATGGTCACGAAGGACACGTTGTGCAAGGTGGCCACGTTGAGCATTGGCTTGGAGGACACCCTCGCATACTACACGGCAGAGGACTTTGTCGCTGGTTTCAAGAAGACGCTGGCTTCGCAGGTGCGACTCATCAAGCACAGCGGTGGCTCGTCAGGCGATGGCATCTGGATCATCAAACTTCAAACGTGGCAACACTGCAAGTCCTTCGGAGAGGGGTTGTGCACGGACGACGAGGTGTTGGACCTGATGACCCTGACTCCGGTATCCTGACTTAGCAGTTCTTGAGCAAGTGAATTGTCTTTGAGTGCGGAGGTCCAGCCTTGGTGTTCATACTGCTGTTAAGTGAGCCCTGTTGTTGATTTGATCGCAGTTGAATTTGATGTCCCCGATATCACCTCGATGAAGGTGTTTTTGACATCCTGCGCATGTTGACTGTGTAATGATGGCCTCATCCGATACCCATGAGGAAGATCCTGCACTTTCTAGATCCAATATTTGGACTGTTCTTTGTCTGGCGCTTTGATAGCCGACTACGGAATACAAAGCATTCTTTGTTTGCCGAGAATCCTTATGCAGTGTCCATGCGCCTTCACAATTGGTTTTGTTGTGGGGGTGGGACAGCTTTTCCGACTGCTGTTTACATCCCACCCGTGTTTGGTGAGCGCATACTATGTCTGTCGATGTTTCACCACCTGCCCAAGATAATTAAGTGCACCCAACATGGGCTGCGCTCGCACTACGGACTCCATGCCCCAAATGAGCGATATATGCACATAATATATAATAAGAATAATCATAATCATAATGATAATATTAAAAAGAAGAAGAAGACACCTATATATATATATATATATATAATATTATATGTATGTGTATATATATATATATATATGTGTGTGTGTGGAACTTGTATGAAAGTTTGCCTTCCACCGTGAAGGTCGAGGGCTTCAAGTCTATTGATGTCCGAGACACCCCCTCACCCCCTGCCCCGCCCCTGCTTCCTAGACGAGCCAGGCGCTCTGCGACCATGGATACTTCTTTCTCAGTCAGAACCTTACAGGCTCTGGCGGCAGTCTTGACGCCATTCTAAAGCAACCCGGTGCGATTTGCCCAGACTCTAGATGTGGGGGCTGTGACTTTGGGCTTGCAGGTCTACCCGGAAAACGATCCAGGTCACACACCAAGCGCAGTCCGGAGCGGCCCTTTCTTCATTAGGCGGGTTCGACCACCGCGAGCCATGAAGAAGTCTGTAACTACCTATACCTAGGCCTTCAGCCCCGAGACATACAAGCCTCGAGCCTGCACCTTGAGCCTCCCTGGGTTCTGAAACCTCCCGTCCTCTCAAGTCCGGGCGAAAGGCGAATCCTCCAAGCCAGAAGTTCGACCCTATAAGACCGGAGAGACGGCCCCGAAACCTTGCACCCCCCAACCCTACACCGCCTTCAAAACCCGAGTCAAACTCGAAACCCTAGACCCTAGGACTTTGGCACTGGCTGCACCCCAGAAGACGAAGAGTCCGCACCTGCCCGGCCCGCTGGCCCAGGGCGCGAGACTCGATGGCCGTTTGCCTGGAGACGGCACTGCAACCAGCACAAGCAGCATCATCTTAAGTTCGACATAAGAACATGCAAACTTGCAAGAATCCAAGCCCAATGCAATAGGCTAAAACCTTGAACCTAAAGATCGGCACTTACCCGGCACTTCACAAACCAGCATCCCACCCAGTCAATGCTTCCTTAGGGCCCCTTCTGCCTTGAAGCGGGCCGCCTCTGCCTCCGCGGTGGCGACCTCCTGAGGTTCGACCGGAATAGGGTTAGGGGATATATTATACTATATTATACTATATTATACTATATTATACTATATTATACTATATTATACTATATTATACTATATTATACTATAATATTTACACTAAGGAATCTCTCAAAGCCTATTCTAATTCTTGTTTGGCAGCGAGCCGCAACCGTTTGCGGCTTCAGCGCGGTCTTGCTTGCTTAGTGCTCCCAAGGTCCTAGACCGAGTTTCCAAAGGCTGTACCTACACAGATGGAGCATCCGGTTGCTGTCAGAGCTGTGACCGAGAGCCCCCAGAGTTGAGAGGGTACTTTGAGGGGTTGAAGCTGGGTTTTTATTGCTGTCTCTTCGTGGTAGGGTTTAGGGTTTAGGGTTTAGGGTTTAGGGTTTAGGGTTTAGGGTTTAGGGTTTGGGGTTTGGGGTTTAGGGTGGTAGGAGCAGGAGGCCGCATGTGAATCCTCTGGGAGAAGCTTCGTACTGCCCGGGAGCACAGTGTACAGCCGAGAGCTTGGATTCAACTCCACGAACCCTTTCAGAAATATAAGGCAAGACTCCAAAAGGACCTACACTCCAGAAAGCAATCAAGGCCACAAGTAGCGTGAGTGATCGAACGGTCGAGCAGTTCGAGGTTTCGGTGAAAGCTGAAGAGCTGCTAAACTCCCAAAAAATGTGAAACCCCACTGTAGCCTCGGAGATTCTGCACTTCCTCCATGAACGGGGATCAGGCTTCGAAGGCAGGGACCACGACTCCGGGTTTGGCTGCTTCCAGTAAGTGGATGAAGTTCCAATAGCCCAGGCTGTCATCATGTCGTGCTTGGGTCGGCAATGCAATCGAAGTGACACTATTGGTACGATGGCTTTTTGGCGCTGTCAATACTAAGTTACTACTGTTTCTACTAGTTTCAGGATCATCAACGGTTGATGTTATTGCTACTACTAGTCTTATGTCTTTAATGGTTACTCTGCCTGATTATTGAGGCCACAAGGGTCTGCTACATCGTTACTACGCGATTGCTACTATTTATCAATGATCCTTAAGCATTTTTTCCGGGAATCATCATCATAGTCAGCGTCAACCCGATCACCGTCGTCCTCTTCCTTAAAACGAGTTTGAGGCTTTAGATCGAGGGCTTAGGGTTCCCATAGGAGAAGACTGTGCCAAGGTGCAGGGCGTCCTCAGCCACCTGCGCTACAGCTCTGTGACATGGTGAGTCTCAGTGGGTGGTTATCTGACAGACCTGTTTCCGTAAATAAGAAGCTCGAGTGCAAAGGTCTTGTGAGCGAAGCAATAGCCACTACATGAATGATCGATGTTGACTTGCTCAGATCTGATGGCCTGATGGCCACAGTCTCCGACAAAGACTCCGAGTGCACCAAAGCAACAGCCGTCAGGCATGTCACCCAAGAATACAAGCCCCTCGCCCGTAAGCACAACAGCTAAGATGCCGCAGCGAACCACCCCTCCCGTTCTGAAACACTGCAGTGAGGCTTCGCTTCGTTTGGGTTTCCTCGTGCAACGCAGTGTACCCATAGTGGGAGCTTACCGTGATGCTTCAGGATTCAGGGGTTAGCAGCCCCAGAGACCTTGCCTATCCCATTTTGTGGCTGGCGCCGCATGGTAAGATAAACGCGACAGGAAAGGACCCTTGAGGGTCCTCCTAAACCCTAAACTCCGAAGTAATCTACAAAAAAGCCCAAGGGGGCGGTCCTTCAGCCACTTCCGGGCATCGTCACCTGGAGTGACTTTCCGAGCAACGGAGAGCGCCTCCATCGCTTCCTCCTAGGGTTGGGGCGTCGCGGGTGGGAGTTTAGGGTTTAGGGTTTAGGGGTTTAGGGTTTAGGGTTTAGGGTTTAGGGTTTAGAGTTGTGGAGAACATGAACGAAAGCAGCCCGACTTTCACGTCTTTTCAACTGGCTCATTATGGTTTAATCACTGCAATAGTTATTAGCATCTAGCACAGCTTTCAGCCCTGTGGACCAGTGTCTAGGCATGTAATTACTTCCAAAGCTTAAACTTCGGCATCTTTTTTTTTGCAATCCCCTGGAGCTGCTCAGACAGACGGATAGCCAACAAAGATTGAAAACCAGCCCCGACTCTTTGAAAGGTATGCCCGACATGCCTGTCCTGCGCCTGATCGCAGAAGTTCTGGACCCGCTCCAGGCATTCATCCCGGATGAAGCGTCTAGGCGAGAGCGACTGGAAAACCTCGCCAGAATTCGCGGGCTGGCCGTCTTCGTGCCCTGCAGCCTCCTTTACTTGCTCGGCCGATTCTGAGGGCTCCCCTGTTGGAAGCCCCTCCGACCTCTGGCCGCCAAGGTTCTCCTCAATCTCCAAAGACGGATTCTTGCCATTCACAAGATCTGCAGGTGAAGAGGCACCGGCGACGTCCAAGCTGCTGGAGCGCTGAGTGTCAGGTGGAATTGCGCCGCCGAGCTGGTCCGCAGTGTCCCACTCGTTGGTCACGGACGGCTGCAGCGGTGTGATTTGGGATGCCATCTTCCTGGGCAAGCAGTTGGGCTGACATATGCTGATGTTTTGGCGCGGCTTCGCATTGTGTAGTATCTTCGACAGCCATCAAATCATACTATGGATGGAGACTAGACATGACAGTCGCTGAGGCATCCCTTGCAACTACATCTGTCCTTATCATCATTCCTCTGCCCTGCCCCGATCATACGACATCTTCCCATCCCCGACGACATGAGACCATCCACTGCTTAGTATAGAAGCCTTAATAATTTGAGCCGGGTTTGGGGTTAGTTCTAGTTTCGTATTCTAAGGAGATAGCTTGAGTTTATTCTGCCCCCTATATTAAGCTGTTGTGTCCTCGCTTCTGCGCAGGTGCGGTGCATGCTAAAAGCAAGCTACATCTAAGACTTTATGTCATGCTCCATACGTGCACACCTTGCATAGAAACAACAATAAGAGAGGAACCTCGAGTGTCAGTAACTTCAATAGAGGGGCCTCAATGGCCAAAAAGTGTTTGGGGGGTAGAAAAAGTATAATATACTCTACGGGCCGCTGAGGAATAACTTGTGTAACTAGTAAGGCTTTCTTTTAACTCCGACTGACACCTGTCCAAGCAGTTGCCGATTCACTCTCCACATCCTTATTGGCCAATGTAGCTATTTATCCGCCCATCTCTCACACACACACACAAAGACAAGAAGTTCGTGACCAAAAAGCAGCATGCTCATGTGTACATGTATACAGCCCGATGCATGTGTATGTGTATATATATATATATATATGCATGTGTATGTGTATATATGCACATATATATATATATATATATATTAATTAACTATAAACTTATAAACTTTGTGGATCCTACAGCGGAATTCAGGCAAGCCACAGCTCTTTCAAGGCCAGGTGGAGAGCATTGCGCTCACAGTGCGCAGCTGTCGCGCGGGAGCAGAGCCCGGGCAGTTCCTGCTGACAGGGTTCGGGTGAACAACAGTGATTGAGTTCCTTCAAATATCTGTGTTTGGTGTGTCTAGGAGCGCGTAAGATACGCAAAAAGCGCACTCCCAGGGTGGCCCGTTCTGTTCAAATATGAGCCCCGTAAAAGGGACCCATATGAGCTTCCACCAGGAGCTTAGCAATTGTTGTGACTTACCGAGTCGTCTTGCCTGTCGTGCGGTTGTTCCGGCATGGCAACCTGCGTATGGGCTCTTCTCAAACTTTGAAGTCTTTTTTTCAGGGTGGTTCATAGAGGATCCTACTCTATAAGGTTCGTATCAGGGTCCCTGACCGGTACCTGATTTGCTTGCGTATCGAGACACCCAACTTCGACTGGACGCATTCGTGGATGAACACCCGTACCCACGCTCATAACGCTCTACAACACTCAAGAGTAAGTTCTTTTCCCCGGAAGCAGACAACGTCCCAGGTATTGCTAACAACGCCTTCAACGCCAGACTCCAGCAGCCCAAACCACTTCGAGACAAAGCAATGGCATTTAAGCCGCAGTTGAAGGTAAAGTTGGAAGGTCCGGGTAGGGCATGCAGTTGCTCCCATTTGCCAGCCTCCTCGAAGGCATCCCGCTCCCGCAGGCCCCAACCTATGAGCCTTCAATAACTTCAGAGCTTGAAGACTCAGCAAGAATCTTATTTCCGTGCTACACTTGACCTGAACATGTCAGGCTTTAAGCCCTAGTTCTCATCTAAGGCTTAGATACCTTCGTAAACTTTCCGAGCTTTGCTGGCGAGCTCAGTACTGCAAAAGGAAGGGCCAATGTCGGAGGCTGAGAAAGGAATCTATATTACTCGCAACGATGGCTTATCTACATGATTATACATACATACATACATACATACATACATACATGCATGCATACATACATACATAAAAACATACACACGTACATACATACATACATACATACATACATACATACATACATACCTACATACCTAAATACCTACATACATACATCCATACATGCATACATGCATACATGCATACATGCATACATGCATACATGGATACATGCATACATGCATACATACATACCTACATACCTACATACCAACATACCTGCATACCTACATACATACATTGTTACATACATACGTACATTCGGTTACATACGCACATACCTACATACATACATACATACATACATACATACATACATACATACTTACTTACGTACGTACGTACGTACGTACGTACGTACATACATATACATGCATACATACATTCATACATGTGCCGAATCGGTACTTCTAAGAAGCAAGGCTTTTGCAACTTCATGTTTGAAGCCTAGAACGTAGACCTGACTCTTCGGCCTTTCTCAATTTAGTGTCTTCCCCTGTTGAGGCGGTACGGGCGTGCCGTGCCACTAACTCCAACACCCGGTACTCGGGACCCTTGGCCAGTGCATCGCAGGAGCTGCATAGTGCTCCCGCGATTCGTACCCAAAGACACGGACAGCACTGCCAGCAACTCCTGCAGAGAGATAATGGGATGTGTCGCCAGTACCAGTGCTGCACGACTGCGTGAACTCCTGCTGCTGCGGCTGCCCCTCCTACTGAGTTTGAGTATCACCCCTCTTGGTTGTGTGAGGGTGGATGTTGTTTGAGAGCTGCAAGAACGATGGCGAAGACGGCTATGTTTATCTGTATGAGCAAGCACCTCGAATGGCACTCCGTACAGAGCTTGCCCAGTTGGATGGAATTGGAGGGGCAGTGCGCTTCGATTTCCTCCGGCGGCGTCTTTACTACTTTGCATCGCTTCGAACCCATGGCTGCTAGCGTCAGTCACCCTCGGGCTGTCCTTGCCAACTGGTAGGCGCCGGGTCGAGGCTGCCGCAGCAGTCAGCTGTCCTGAGGCAGCAGTTGCATATCGTAGTCGGAGGAGAAAATAAAACGGCAGTGGTCATGGTAACTTGGCAGTCCTCGAGCCAGTCTTTGGGCCCTGAGATGCCAGCACACCCTGCTGCTCATTCCCACCTCGTGCGACAGAAGGGCAGGTAGCAGAGAGAACTGCAGAAATTGAATTGACAGACTCCTGCATCCTGTGAGTAACACATACCCTACCGCAGCATGATGTCAAAGCTGAGAACCCAAACCAGGTTCCAGCAATCAGCAGATCTCCAGTTGCCTGTATGTGTATTTGTCTGCGGACATATATATATATATATACAAACATACATATACATACATACATACATATATATATATATATATATATTTATTTATTTATTTACTGATTTATTTATTTATTATGTATATACATGCATGTACATATGTTTGTAATTGTACATTCCGGTCCAGACAAGAATCTCTCGTTGGTCCTGTAACTTCTCGGGAGTTGCTGAGAAAAAAACATCTGATACTGAAGCCGTCTCATGATATGCACCCGCTTCTACAGACATCAGCATGACTTTGGGAATATGCTCCATGCCATTCTCCATGTCAATGAGTCGTACAGCTGGTATGCGGCTAGAGGCTAGGTCAATTTCCCAAGAATCCACTGTCTTCTGTAAGACCATGATCGTCGTCATCATCATCAACCTCATCAGCTGACCATCAGCAACTTCCATCGTCATTGTCACAGACATAGGCCAGACCATATTCCACACAACCTTCTGTATCGCCACCACCAATATCAGTCTCGACGCAACGGAAACCAAGGTGTACGAACTCAATCCAGCCTGTGACAGTGCGTCATGCGTGTCCGCCCCAAGGTTGAAGACGCGGCTCGGAAACTGAGGAAAGCAGGTGACAAAGCTGACGCTAGTAATCGGTGGCAATGTCCAAAACCTACTGCAGTAGAAGCAACCTTTTGTCCCATTTGTCAAATCCTAGACCCTAAAGAAATTCAACGAGCACAACACAAATGCCAAGATACCCTAAACCGGCCGCTGCACCATGTGCACGTGCGACTTCAGCTGTGGCGACATGATGAAATGATTAAATCGCAAGCCCACATCAAGGAGTCTTTGCATAATTCAATACTCCACCGTAAACATTTCTCGAAGCAAGTACGATGAAGTGTGATAACGTGCCTCAATCGTCAAGGCACGAGATGACCTTTCGGAGTATAGAATTGTACTTGTTAGGTATGTCGGCTAATGCAATACAAAGGCCTGAGTACTTGGCAAAATCCTTCTCTAGGGTTGCCGGATGTACAGTATGCACAGGGTAAAATCCCCAAACCCTGGTCTAGTTAGTCTACCTACTCAGGCCTCTAGATTATATCTGCCCTCAGTCTGATTGTTCAGGCCTCTAGAATATCCCACGCCTAGGGCTTGGTGGCATCTAGAATCTAGAACTTAGAGATCGAAGTCTGGACCCGAAACATCGACAGGGAGGTCTTCAAAAATGGCAAATAATGTACCACATGATAAGCAGTATACCACGATAGTCTCCATATACCTGTTCTACAATCTACCCCAAGAACCCTGGTCTTTTTCTCAAGACTCCCATGTTTAACACGCGGACGCGGCCAAGCGAGGTGCCAACTCGTGCAGTCCGGGTAGGATGGTTCGGCTCGATGTGGCAGTGGACTCTCGGAGGAACCTAGGATACTTCACACAATGCATATATATATATATATACATATATATACATACGTACACATACATATGTACATGCACAAATTTCTTTGTGTGCTTGTATGTCATGCATATACAAATATACACACACACCACTTATAATATTACATGTTGACTCACATGCACATACATGTCCATAACAGATACGTACGCATACATTTGTGCAGAAGGAACTCAGTTCCTGTACAAAGGGCCTAAGTGTTCTTTATCATGTCGCTTATCTGCTTATCTGTTTATACCTTTCTTTATGTGCACTAATCCTGCTTGTTCGTGTACGTATGAATGTATGTAGGCATGTATGTATGCATCTACGTATGCAGGTGTGTGTTTGCTGACTTACTTACCTACCTACCTGCCTACTTACTTACCTGCTCACATACTCACTTACTGCCTTACTTGCTTGCCTACTTACTTATCCAGCTGCTTGTGGGCTCATTTACTTATGACGACTTACTCGTCATTTACATAGTATCTACGGATGTTTGTGCTTGCGTGTGTGTGTGTGTGTGTGTATGCGTCTTTTGATTCGTTCATTCATGCAGACATACAAACATAAATGCAGACACACGTTATGTTACATTAAACTATCCATTTATATATGTATATATATATACACATGCACATATGTATAAAAACAGAGAGACAGAGAGAGAGAGAGAGAGAGAGAGAGGGAGACAGAGTAACCCCTCTCTGGTTTGAGGTGTGGGTTGGGGGGGAGATCCTCGTCTTAGGAGGGCACAGGGGCTCAGTCATTGGTCAGTGGCGCGTAGAGAAGTCGACTAGTTCGATCCCCGCCCCGGTGGAGTTTTGGAACTCGACCCCGGTTTCTATGTATTGTACTACAGTGCTACAGCAAGCAGCTACAATCTACAGCTCATATGCATTTGTGTACGGAAGTACAGATGCGCATATGCATATGTATGTTTTATATGCATGGGAAAAACCACATATATGTGCACACGGTGTGTGTGTATATATATATATATACATATATTGGGTACTGCCCCCATACAGTAACAGTCTACAATAGGGCTACTACACAGGAACATATATATCCATGACATCAATATGTTTAACTGTTACCGAGTGGGGGCCGTACCCAATGCATATACGTACAACTTGAAAGAAACAAACAGGCAGAAAGACAGATAGACGGATGGATAAGCAGGCAGACGGCAGATAGAGAGTTAGAGATCGATATACAGTCTAGTCTGTACATACATACAGAGTTTAAAGAGACACGCACGACACGCATGCATAAACATGAATTAATCAACCTTGCTGGGTCTTCGACTCTCGTTTCCACTGTGCCGCCCTGGTGATCCGCTGCACCTGGCGACCTGGAGTGGGTTCGGTCAACATCCACAGACGCCTTTTGGGGCCTGCTTAAGGTTTTCCTGGGATTTAAGTTCAGTGGTTGCACCTTCCAAGGTCTAAAGTCCCGGGGTAAACTTGAGAAGCGCCCTCCGGTCACAAGATGGTGAAGCTCTGCAGCCTGAACTTCAAGCATATGGAGCTTCTTACGGTTGTCATGCGCATCGCTGCATCGAATGTCTTTCAAACAAAATGGGCGAGCGCATCGGTGCAGTCTCCGGCTTGTAGAGTTTAGGGTTGAGGGTTTAGGCTTTAGGATTGGGAGTTCAGGGTTCAGGGCTTAGGGTGCCAGATTCGGGCTTCCTACGGAGACTGGGAGGCCTAATTCGAAGCTGATCTCCTGGCCCGCATGTCGGCCAGATATGTAGTGATGGTAGAGTTATGCGTAGCTAGACAAGTTCGGGGGTCATCCATCTACTCGGCGACTGAGTAGGATTTAGGAGACCGGGCTTTCATGTTCAGGAGTTCAAGGCTGCGGTCGTACAAACACCCCGAAGACCCAAGCCAGTGTCTTGGACCGCAACCCCGAAAGGCTTTGACCCTGAACCATAAGTCTCCAACCCCAAGCCCTACTTCAAAGAGACCACAAATCCTAAGTCACTGTGGGCCCTTGCCTCTCATAGACGAAAAGCATGCAACAGAACATCCCGGAATCGGGACTTCGAAATTGAAACGATCCGGCAAACCTGAATGACTAATCACCTGAACCTTATCCCGGCATTCGACCACATGGAAGTTGCAGAACGAATGGGCACCCCCAAACTAGTGTGGCATAGCACTTTGGGTGTACGGGTTTAGGGTTTAGGTTTTTGGGTTTATGGGTTTAAGGTTTGGGATTAAGTTTAAGGCTGAAGGATTGGCCCCTTCAGGCCTTCTGTGATGGCCCATCCGTGGCGCTTGTCTCTGTTCGGCTTCGCCCATTTTCGACCATACCTTAAGACGAGGGCAGCCCGGGGCATGCGCCTGGCAGGGGACGTACAGTGCTCTTTCGAGAGGGAACGTGGGTGGTACCCCAGCTCTTATGCTTGGCCTTACACTCACCTAGCGGACCTTCGAAAGAGAGAGCTCTAAGGCAGGGGTCGCAGCGAAGTCCGGGTAGTGGCATTTGCAATACACATCAGATCACCTAATGGCGATGATGATGCGCAACAATAATGACAACATGGCAGCTGTTCGCGATGCAAGATCACGTTTCTCAAGGCCGGGGTTCTCACTACGACACTGATGAAGCCTTGAGCGCTAAAGGATGCGTGGAAGCAGCTTAGCGGGTTCGGGGAAGGTGGTTCAGAACCGAGCGAACACGTCGAGAGGCGAACCCAGGGAGCCCGATGCAGTTCTGGACTCCGCAGCAATTGCACGCCGATGAACAGTTTCCAGGTTTGGGGTACCAGTATTTAGTATTGGATCTCTAAACCCTAAACCCTTAAACCGGCTACAAACCTTCTACGTTACACATCGTCTTGACAGAGATACCCATCTCCGAGACCTGGCCATAACGCTAAGCGTAGCAGTGGAGGCGGAGTGTCTCTTGCAGTACGTAAGTCATCATCTGCCAATCCGGGAATGACACACCCTTTCCCACTTAGAGCAGCTTTCAGCGTTTCAGAACGTCAAAAGGGTCATTGGCACTTGCTGCCTTGCTTCCATGAGTGATGGCTATTCTGGCTACTATGATCAAGGTGTTCTTAAATATGTGTATGCTAAGTATCCGTATCTAAACCCTCAGCCCTAAACCGAAGACGACGAAATTTTACGTTTGGGCCGTCTTTGTCGGAGTTCCAGCCTGTGAGGCTCCTCGAGCGGCGCCGGATCCTGTGCAGCAGTTCGGGGTTTCCCCAGTTCGGGTTTTGGGGTTTAGGGTTTAGGGTTTAGGGTTTAGGGTTTAGGGTTTAGGGTTTAGGGTTTAGGGTTTAGGGTTTAGGGTTTAGGACCTGAAAAGGTTTCACTCATGACAAGATCCCTTGGGCGGCGCGGATCGAATTCTATCTCAGTGAGGGGCAAGTAGAGTGTTTAGGTTGGGGGTCAGTAAAAAGGCCGAATATGCTCTGGCACCTTGGCTTCGTGTTGTCGAGCTCCTGGTCTCAAAGGCTCCGAACCGTATGTCAAAAAACGACAACATGTAGTAGTTGCAGTAGTCGTCGCCGTAGTAGTATAGTAGTCGTAGCAGTAGTGGTAGTAGTAGTCGTCGTCGTCCTTGTCGTCCTTGTCGTCCTTGTCCTTGTCGTCGTCGTCGTAGTACTAGTAGTAGCAGGAGTAGTAGTAGTAGTAGTAGTAGTAGTAGTAGTAGACCGGACCGCCTGAAGGTCTGTGAGGCGCCATAGGAGCGGTTCCAGCAAAACTCGTCCTTGGGTGTCGCATAGCTGTTTAGGGTTTAAGGCTCCAAGATACTATGACACCCCTTAACTACGGAAGTCTTCCTTAGGGATGATCAAGTTCCTAGGTTCTGACTCCGGGTTTTGACTTTGACGCATCGGGCCGAAGCGCGGGGGGGTTTGGGGATCGGGGCCGAAGCATCTGAGGCCTGGAAGGGCCTAAAAAGCCAAAATCCGGGCGTAGGGTTCAGGGTTTAGGGCTCCCTAAACGTGTGGAGCTCCGGGTTCAGAGTTTCTGGGAAAAGGACCCTCCACTTCTGTAGGTTCCTGTGGGCGTACGAGGGCAACAGAAATTAATCAAGAGCAGGTGGTTGCATGTCTAGGAATCTTGGGTCTTCTGCGTTGTAGCACGCAGCATGGATTCAACCATTGTCAACATCCACGGCTGAGAATCCGACGTAGCCGCTTGGGATGTGGGGGTCCGGCGTTAACGTTCACGGTTTAGGGATTAGGCCTTAGGGTGCTTCCTCAGACAAACAGACCCTTGCCTCGTATAGCCCTCTCATCCCAAGGCAGGAGGCGTAGCACATGGCGGTCTCCATTTTTGAGATGGCCGTGCGCTTGGAGGAGTTCGGCCAAGACAACCTCAAGTGATCTGGAGCTGAGGATTTCGAGCCTCGGGGTAGGGCAACGGTGGACAACAATTAGCAGCCGCCGAGACCCCCTTTTACAAAGCTTGACGGATGGACCATCCGATTCGCGAACCCACGGAAGCGGGCTCCGAGAGTGTAGGGGCAGTGCATGCCGCAAAGTACTTGTAAGCGCCTTAGGAATTTGCGGGTGCAGGGTAGGGCTTTAGGCTTAAGGCACGTGGAAGCACAGGATTTTCTATTCTTCAGGGTTTCGTGGTTATGGGCAGGGTTCTTAATTACGTGCAGCTCTCAGGTCAAGTCCAGCATGGACGACTACGGGACGAGCTGGCATGCCTTAGATCGAGTATGCCATGACATGACCCTATACTGTGGGCACCCCAGGACACGAGAGATATTAGGCTCCGACCTTATCGTAGAAAAATCCCAGTCGAATCTATTAGAACATAGCAGTAGCATCTGTAAACAAAGAAATTCTCTTCCAGTGGGGCACAACTTGACCGACGTGGTGCCAGAGTCAAAGGTATCCCATACACCCTGCATTCAACACCCTGCAACCCATTGGACCCAGCCCTAATTATACTGAAGACCGGAAGCCCCAACACTCAGCTCAACCCTAAACCCTAAACCCTAAACCCTAAACCCTAAACCCTAAACCCCAAACCCTAAACCCTGAACCCTAAACCCTAAACCCTAAACCCTAAACCCGTAGCCTGAGCCACCCGGCAGACTGGAGCTGCACACTGGAGCTCATGCTGCTCTCTTGCTTCAAGCAGCGGCTCAGGCTACCTCCGGAGGAGAACAGGGGATTTCCAAAATATAATACCCCAAATAATAGGATCCTTATTATAAGGACCCCAAAATAAGGTACCCTAATTTTCGGAAACTCCCAACAATCACAGTGGGACGAGTTAATCAAACATGCTTATGGGATTGTAGTGGAAGTCACATACCGTGGCAGCAGTCCAAGCGAAGCTTCGCAACTACACCGAAGCCCATCGTAAGTCGAAAGTCTTAGCAGCACGAAAGTCTTAGCAGCACACTAGTCACTGGACTTAACAGACGATGGGAGCTTCAGAAAGGAATGGAAATATAACCCGCAAAGAGCAGTATCCATAGTATATGGTCCCATGAATAGGATGTTGAGAGACTCCGCTCAGAACAGAACCCGACTCTCTTCCAGTTTGCCTTGCTAGAGTTTGAGCTTCAAGCAGCAACTCTCAAGACTTCACCACACCGAACCCCAAACTAGTCAGACCTAACTATCTAGCAACTCTCACCGAAGCCAACACCGGCACACCAAACCCGGTCTCAAGACTCGTAGCAGTAGCAAACACCAGAAGGTAAATGGCAAGAACAGTGTAATAGGGGAATGATACGAAGTAAAAACTGCAACCACAACGACCCTGAACCCTAAACTTCCCTGAACCCTTGATTAACCCGCATAAGGGCCAGAAGAATGAACCAAGGAGCCTTGTGCTTTTTTCAGCCAGGGTAGCCCTCGGGCTGCGTCCGCAGCTTCTTCCTCGCTTTCTGGGCTGGGATCCTGCTTCTTTTTTTTATGAGGGGGTCCGAACCCTAAACCCTACACACAAAACCCTGGTGTCTGAAAAGATCTTGGGCTGCAGCCGCTTGGGCCAAAGCTTCGGCATACGTGTCCCCAGACAGATGCCAGGGGTTTTCGGGGCGGCCTCAGCGAGCTGGACGCAGGGGATCACTTTGGCTTTAGGGGTCTAGGGGTTTAGGGTTTGCAGTTTATGAGTTTAAAGTACTACGTGGATGGAAATTGCTTGACACAGGTCCGCCCTTGTAGCGGCTTCTCCGCTGCTTAAAAATAGAAGAACGGCCCTGCGATTCAGTAGAACGCACCAGGTGATCTGCCCCTGTGCACATTTGTATTCGAGGAGCACGTCTTGAGGCTTCGGGCGTGCGCGTAGGGTCTTGGGAGGTCTGAGGGTGTTCTTTAGGTTCAGGCTTCGGGGGGGGGGGGTCCAGGCTTTCAAGGCGGGAGATGTAGCATCCTAACCACCCGATGTCCCACCCCCCTGTATCCCTCCACCCCAAGCCCTGAAATAGAGGCCTGCTTACGCCTTGAAGCCTGAAATCTCGCAGGCGCGCAGCAAAGCCGAGTACAAGTAGCAGGAAGCAGGAGAAGACGCCACTCGCTGAACAGCAGGGCCACAACCCGCAAACCGAGGACTTCACAGAGTGTCCACAGCGCCCGCGGCCATGCCCCGTTTTGGAGCTGGGCAGCAAGCGCCTCAAGAGCAGACCGCGGACGGTTTGCCCCCCACCCCCCTTGAGAGAAAAGGGAGGGAGGGAGACAACCTTAGCACTGAGTGCAGCCAGTGTGGCACAGGTTAGTAATAGTTTGAAGCACCCCTGCTGCCTGTAGCACTGTAGCAAGACGACATTATGTTGAGGTGGCAATGCAGAGATGCGTATCTTGTGCTTGGTTGCCCTCATTCAGACATGTGGCTACAGCGTCACGAGACCTGTTGGTGACCTCCTACTGCATGAGCATGGGTTGATAACGAGGCACGTAGACAACTGAAACGGACGGATGCGAACTACGGAGCCAGCGATGTGATGTTGGTGCAACCGACCCGTACCGACCCAAAATCTCGCGAGCAATCAGCATGCACGAAAGCCGTGTTCTAAATCGGTGCGTCTTTGAAAGCAGATTCGTAATTGGCCTCCGGCAGGACGTGCATGGAGCAGTGCTAAATCCCAGACCTACAAGCCCCATCACCCCATAAAACCCAATAAGCAAAAGCAACTAGATAAACCGAAGATCGATTTACACCCTTTCTTGACCGTATAGCAATTGCATTCACCTGATGAACCTCAAAACCTCCAAACATAAACCCTGCATACACCGTAAGAGGGTCCGTAGATCCGAGCCCCTCGCAACATCCGCCAGGCCAGCGTCAATCTCGACCCCACCGCGATCAGCATCCTCAACAAAGAGGCGGATGAGAGTGCCGGGCCTTTCGGGTTGAGGGGTTTAGGGTTTAGGGTTGAGGGTTTAGGGTTTGGGGTTTAGGGTTGAGGGTTTGGGGTTTAGGTAGGCCTTTAGGGTCTAGGGTCCTCTTTCTCCTCGCCTCGAATCAGCTCTACGCAAGAGCAAAGGAACCTCTTGTGGACAAAGAGGAATCCCACATCAGAGGACTCTCCAGCATGCCACCGCAGGGTTTAGGGTTTACAGGGTTAGAGCACAACCTTCGTGCCCGAGGCCGAGCCCTTATTGCTTTGAGGAAGCTCCGAGGCTCGAAAGCACAGAATGCGCGTAGATGCGTTGGACCTGACCTGGGGCTTACTGCTATGCCTGATGAAACTTGCGGCCCCTTCTTTTCGAGGCTTCTGAGTAGCTCCAATGGTCTCCCTCTCTGGCCGGAATGCTGGGGATCCTGCCTGCAAAGTTTGCAAGATCCGCTGCCACTGCTGGCCACCTCCGGCAAGCCAAGGCAAGTCCGGAGTCTTCAAACTGTCTGCTGCCAAGGGCCCGAGTTTCAGATTCCAGGTTTAGAGTTTTTGTTAACACCTTTGCTTACTTCCGCCTGGTTTCCGGGTCAGAATGCCATGATGGCTAAGGCAGGATAACGGGAGACCGAGGAAGGGATTCTACCACTATGAAACCCATACCAGCGGACCACTCGATCTCCCATAACCGTAAAGTAGCCTGACCTCCATGTGAGGACATGGCCCTGATCATCGAACCAGTTCAACAAGTTTTTCTGTTTTAAACTCCTTTTTCCGAAGCCCAAAGGTCCCAAAAGGCTCAACAAGGGTTTAGGGTTTACCTAGTTGTTGAGTTCCAAAGCCCAGAAAAGTGTACACTTTCAGTTTTATAGTAGGCAATATTCACCCCAAAAGTGTAAAGTGTACCCACTCAGCTACTGAGTTTAGGATCCAGAATTCCATGAGAAACTGGGCGCCAGGCTCGAGCAGCTGCTGCAAGCAGCGGTGAAACCTCGGGCCCTTCCCAGCCTCCCAGCTCTTGCATGACTCAGATATGGATACAGGTACTGATACAGATATAGATACAGACGTGGATATAGATATGCAGATACTTGGGTTTTTACTTGCTTAGTATTAGATAACTGTTGCATTATTATATTATATACTGCATTATCTTATACTGAATGTTACGATGTTATATTATATTACTATATGATATCATATTATACTATATTATATTCGATATATTTTACTATGGTATATTCTATATATTATATTTTGTCATATCTTATTTTATGATATTATGCTATATTGTATTTTACTATATTTGGTTTTAATATATGATATTATCATACTTTATTAGTATGATATTGTAGTATATTATATCATATTCTATTTTATGATGTTATATATTGTACTATATTGTATTGTATTGTATTATATTATATCATGTTAGATATATATATATATATGGATGGTCCCCACCACCTTGTCGATAGCGCGGCATAAGGCAGGGACTGGTCCCTCGTAAGTGCCCTGCTAAACACATCTCTTGCTGCGCGATGAGCTTGCATGGCCGAGAGAAGATGGATCGCCTCACGTCAAGCTGCACTCCGTGATGCCAGTACATTGGGGTTTAGGATTTAGGGTTTAGAATTTAGGGTTTGGGGTTTAGGGTTTAGGGCAGTATCGTGGCAATGCGCTGCTAGCGATAGTGACCGGTAGTGCCCACCTGAAAGCAATCTCGAGTGCTCTCGTTGGGGCCCCTCTGTCCCTGAAATCAGATCAGTAAGACCGGGGCGGCTGCTGTTTGTGACAAGTATATACGCATGCATAGACATACGTCAACACGTACATGTTTCAAAAATCGACTGTTAGATGTGTCAATGGATAGGTTGAGGCACCCAAAACCTTGCCATCTACCTACCTACCTACCTACCTACCTACCTACCTAACGACAATCCAGCCGACCCGCCCATCCCCGGCATCCACTATGTATCCATCTGTCCGTCGAACTGCCATCCATCCATGTACCGATCGATCTGTCTGACTTTCTTCCGATCTATCCATCTATCTATCTGTCTATCTTTGCATATGTACGTGTATGTATATACTTATACATATATATATATATATAGATAGATATACGTGACAATACTATGTTCATTTGTATAAATGTCTCTATTTATACTTACACATATGAATACGTACATATGGTTGCGATGGCGGAGGTGTGCGATGTCCACGACACTCAGTAGCCTCGAGCTACCGAAGCCTAACATATTATTTGGGTTGAGGTTTCGGGCCATCCCAACTCTGGGCTGAGCGCACTGAGCAGCTGGCAATGGGCCACTGACCAGGGCGACTGCAGGAATTCATAGCAGCGTTGAAGCCTGAAGAGCTGGGACCCGCTGAGGCATTGAACAAAAAGCCTTGATTGATTCACCCAAGGCAAGCGCCCACGCCTGGGATGTGGGGCTCCATGAGAATTCATGGAAACTTGTCTTGGGGCTGGGCTTGAGGGCTGACAGGCACACCGTGCATTCCTTCGGTGCTGAGGCGCTGAGGAGACAACCCTGATCGCTTGCCAGGGACAGCGTCTGGGATTGCTGAAGCAGCAACAGAGCCTGAAGTCGGGCCATCGCCCGGAACGACAGCATGGGAAGGCTGGCTCGGGCGGAGCTGTTTGCTCAAATTCAGCAGGATCATACGGGTTAGCTTCAACCATGGTTTGAAGCCACTCAGGGCCCCGAAGCTTCTGACACGCACAGGCAAAGTCAGGTCCGGGTTCGCGAAGGAACGTTTATACAACCAACCGATCCCCCGTTTCGAGAAAGGCACATGGGTTTCGACTGTCTGAAGCTGGGACATGAGGCGAGCATACATACGTGCATACATACATACAGACAGACATGCATACATACATACATACATACATACATACATACATACATGCATACATACATACATACATACATACATACATACATACCTACATATACGCACTTGTATGTATGTGTGTCTGTATGTATGTATGTATGTATGTATGTACGTATGTATGTATGTATGTATGTATGTATGTATGTATGTATGTATGTACATGCATGTAAATGTGTGTATGTAATTCTATATAGAGAGAGTGTGTGTGTTACAAATTTACACTTGGGGCTTGGGCTTAATCCCTTAAGAAACTGGACAGTGCAGGGGAGATGGATCATCCTTGTGCCGTGGCTTAATCCCGCAGGACGCCAGCCCGCCCAAACCTGGATTCCCCATAGTGTATCATACGGCTAAATCCGTCTTCGGCTTGCAGATTGTAAATACCAAGAGCCTACGCCTCAAAAAGGGCACGAAAAGACTCACATGTTCCTACACCCCAAACCTTCAAACCTAGACCCTGTCTGTGCTGTGGTCCTGGTCTTGCCTGATGCCAGCGCCGTGCGCGAGCACAGGCGGCCACACCCGCGCAGTGGGCCTAGCTTGTCGGTGGCTCAGAGTTTAGGGGTTTAGGGCTTTTGGATTTGGAAGTATAGGGGTGTAGCGGTATGTAGGGGCTATGGGGTTTAGGGGGCTGGCGTGACCCACCCTATGCCAAATCCAGTCGAAGCTTAAAACCTAAACCCTCAAATCCGCAAATCTACTGATGAAATCCGCTGCCGTCAATTTCCTGCTGAATGCCACCCGGCGGCATAAGAGTCGGCAAGCCCTTCGAAGACGAGATCTTCCAATCTAGACGGCGCGCGCTATGGGCTGGGGCGGGTCAGGAGCTTTTAATTGGAGTCCTATGCTGCAGAGAGCTGGCTGAAGGCTGTTCTGATGAAGGATACTACTACTGATACTACTACTACTACTACTACTTCTTCTTCTTCTTCTACTACGACTATTACTGCTTCCACTCCTGCTGCTGCGGGTACTGCTAAAGGTGCGGCTACGGCTACTGCTACCGCTCTACTACCACGACTAATGAGTGGTGACTGGCATCATCCCATGGGTAGAGCTTCTCCTTCGTCTTCGCGTGAAAGACACGCGGCAGTACTTGCAACAGGCTCAACCTTCCTGTTGCTACTGCTAGTGCATTGCACATAACAGGTAGACCAACGAATGCGGGCTCGCTCATGGTGTGCAGCAGCCAATATCCTCCTGCAGAGAAGCAAAGAGAAGATAGACGTCCCCAATCCGACGACCCTGCAGAACCTGGAGCCCAACGACCCAGCCTCTAGGCCCGGGAAACCGAAGTAGCAACCCTCGTTTTGGAAACCCTATCTATCTCTGTGTGTGTGTGTGTACATGTATACATATGTCTATATACATAGTAACCCTGAAAACCTGGATTTCGCCGGATTTCTGAGGCGGCTGCAGCAGCAGTGCCATCTGCCACTGCCTTGGCATGACTTCGTAGGATAGGATAGACTCCCTGAACTAGCAGAAACATTATGGAGGCCTGCATGTTGCGGGTTTAGTCGAAGTAGGCGTTGTAGCTTATCAACAAGCTAGACTAAACCTCTGGTAATCGGCCTGGTGGCAAAAGTGAGCCAAGTGGACCTTCGTGGTCGAGAACATCGGGCTTTTGGTTCCTGCGCTTCGGGCTTCTGTTCATTCGATTCAGGCTTTGCTTTCCACAGGAAGAGATTGAAGGCCTCGGCTCTTCTTCCCCTCTACCCTGCCACATCTTCACTGGATTGTATCTGCAGCAACAGCACAATTTAAGGCAGAATTGGGAAAGTCGCCACGTAGACTTTTAACCTGGATCCCGGTGTGACTTTTTGTGGCACGTTCTGCCACCTCGCGTGCACATCGAAGCTGCTTCTTGTGTTATCCTGCGACCGCAGTCGCCTCCCTGCTTTTTCCCATCGAGGGACTGACCGGAAGACCATGCGTCCATTACGGGGGGGGGGGGGACCTTGATAATTAGAAAAGGGTCTCGGGGTACTTTATTAGTATAGTCATGAAAAGGAACCCTAGGAATAATGTTGGCAATTATTTAGACCCCTATATTAAGCATGTAGCTTTTGACTTCAGGAGCCAGCTGACTGGCCTCCTCCATGTTTGTAAGTCCGGTCATGGGCTGCCCTAGGAGTCTGAAGCAACAGAAATCTTGCATGAACCCACAGCAGCTGCCAGTTGTGATAAGGATGTCATGTCTAGTTTTTTATTATATATTTTCTTTTGGACAACGAGATGGCTACACGTGAGTTGGCCACCTACCAAGGACCACGAGTAGCAAAGGAATTCTCTGCGAGAAGCACCGGCCTGAGGTGTGGCGCCTCCATATTCTGCTTCCTTCTGGGTCCCTGCTACGGTCGACTCCCGTTGTCATAAGTACTTGCACCCTACCGTAGACCATCAACCCATCCCGGACCCTGTATCAGCAACGCTTGCTGCAACCCTTATAGCGAACCCAAAAAAACATGAAACCGGCCCAACTGTCGACGAGGCAGCTGCCGACTGCTTCCACAAGCAGCAATTGCAGAGGTCCGGCCGACGACGTCAGGCCCTCGTGGCACGGTTCAGGTTTGGAGCTTCTGGTTTAGGGCATGGCACAACGGCATGCATGCTTAGAGTATGTAGATACCATGATACCTGGCACGCAGCTTGATCAGGTCTTGGGCATAGTAAGCTCGGAGGATCACGTGCTATCTTCCTCAAGGGGCCTTATGATCAGGATATATCAGGATCCCACTAGATGGAAATCCATACTATATACAGGGTTCTTGTTGTCGACTCTGCGAAGTCTGATTTCGGGGACCGTAAACCGTAACCTCAAGTTCAGCAGCGCAGGTCTTAAGATTTTCAAGCATTTCAATGCAGTTCGCGATTTTTTGGTCAAGCAAGCTGCAAGCCCCTCAATGTGAACTGGCACATGCTCTGAGGTGCCTGGAAGTAGATTGTTCAACAAAAATCACCAACCGGACAAACCGCAACGACATGTCCAGCCGACGTTCCAACTTAGGGAATTTAGGGAACGCGCAGAGTTCCTGGCCGGAAAGACCCAAAGCAAAAAAACTACGACGACAACAGAGCAAAGGGCTGCATACACAATTGATCTCTACATCACATACAAGAAGGAGCCTTACAAAAATGTCAGAAAAAGCTTCTGGGATACATGAAACTAACTCTATGGAGAGGAAGCAGAAGGAACAGTATTGATAATTTTTCTCGATTACCATCGCTGTTTTCTCCCATGTCAAAATCTCAGTGCGCCCCATGGTGCGTTTCGGGCCTATGAGCCCTAATATGGATTGTTGATGGGTACCCTACAAAAAGCGAGAGTTAGAGGGCGGGTTTCAAGAGCCTCCCGAGAAAGACTCCATCTCCCCCAGGGCGCTGAGCACACGCTCCCACCTGGTTTCGGGCTTAGGGTAGAGGGTGTAGGGCTTAGACTTGAGAGGGTTGAGGGCTTAGGGTTTAGGGTCAATTTCGGTCCGCAGTCGCGCCGTTCAGGACTCGCAGCTTTCAGGGTTTGCAGGATTTGGGGGTTATAGTTGTTCGGGATTTCGTCTTGCAGAGTTTATAACTCGTTACAACTTATGTGACTCATAGCTTTGAAGTTGAACGTCTGCGGCGCCTCAGGATTCGTGAGTACGGTGGCGACGCATTGCGAGTCGTCTCGGGGTTTGATGCGCAGAGCACGGCAAACAGTGCTGTAGGGTTTTGGGATCGGGCTTTTGCAGCGTCTAGCCGCTAGAATCTAGCCGTTGAGACATGTTCATCCGAGAAACCCCCAGCCAAAAAAGCACTCCACCGAGCCGAGCTGCAAACTCTAGACTCTATTCTATACTATACCCCTCAAAGCTCGACTCCAAACCCTAGGCCCTAAGCTCCCACAACAACTCCACCCTGAGCACCAAGCTCAAAGCTTTAAACACCCTAGGCTCTCAACAGTAAACCTTAACCTTCACCCTGCTTCAAACTCGAAACCCCAAGCTCTACACTCTAACACGCTACAGATCTCTACAGTAGACCCCAAAACCTGCACCCCTGACTAACCCCTGATCTGAACCGCCTAAACCTTCAAAAACCCGTAAAACCTTCAAGCTCAAAACCCCTAGAACCCTCCAGGACCCTGCCCGGGGCCAAGGCAATGAGGCCCTCTTGTAAGCATCCACCACAGCCTCAAGCGTCTTAGAAAGGCACGGGGCAATTGAGTATTGATAACTCATTTAGGCTTGTGGAGTTGTGCTATACTCTATTCTTTGTTGGGAATATTCAAGGGGATACATACCTGTATCATTAAATCTCTAGCTGCTTTAGGGCTTAGGGTTTGGGGCCTGAGACTATGATTAACTTGAGAATACTCTAACTGCGTTTACTGCTCGTACCCGCCATTAGCTAGCATTGCCGTCTTTAGTGTTCTTGTGACAACCGACCATGATCGGCATGAGTACTATTGCGTCGGCACTATTTGCACTATGGCTACCGGAGCCCCAGCCCCGAGGTCAGAGTGTGTATTCGCAAGTGAGCCAAAGATTTCGATTAGGATTAGAAGAGAGACAGTTAAGAAAAAGGTGACTCCCAAACTTGCCGCGTGGGTATGTCGTGCGGGGTTGGGGGGATCACGGAACGCACCTTGCTCCGTCACAACCCTCTAGGTCGAGGCAGACCGGCTCTTGAGAAACCCTGAAACCCGCAGCTCAGATGGATCCGATACAAAAACCCTAAGCCCTACACCTGGAACTTCAATCCCCACGGATCCGACAAGGAAAGCCTCACGTCCGAGCCCCAAACCCGGTGAGTCACGGCCTGGAGGACTGGGCTTTTGGGAGCTTTTGGGGCGGATATTGAGGGGCAGGGTTGAGGCTTGGGCCTGGGGGGGAGGGGAGTTCAGGTTTTTTCAAGTTTACCGGGATTTGTGGGGAGTTTGGCCATGTGCTTTGGGCTTCAAGGATTTAGAGCTTCAGGGGTTCAGGCTTTGTTATTTGGGGCTCCTCAAGTTCGCTCAATGCTTCGAGGGTTTACGGCTGAGGGCGCTGGTTTGAGAGTTTGTACAGGATGCAGAGATTAGGCTTCAGGGCTGTGAGGAGTTAGGATTAGGTGCACCCTTGGGGATGTAGACCCTCTCAATAACGTCCCTTTAATACTAGCCGACTAGCCATACCCCTTGAAGGGGTCTCCCTAATCCTACCGAGGAGCTTCAGGCATGAATTAGGGATTCAAAAGCTTCACAGCCAGGTTTGGCCTTCCACCCTGGGCTCGTCAACTCTTGCTGTTTAGGTCACGTTCATCTGCTGAGTGCTTTAAAAGCCCTCAGATTCCTGAGAAATCCTCGACTAAAAAACACTCGACCTGGAACAACTCTTCCGGACAAGGCGCGTTGCTGTCCACCTGGTCCATCTCCATGTGCATGAGCAGTCCAAGAACCCTTCCTGGGCGATCAGCCCTTCTCAAGATTTCTGAAGCTCTGGCCAGGGATTTGGGCGAATTGAATACTAAACTCTCAACCCCAAACTCCAAACCCGAAAACGCCCGAGAATTTCCCACCCAGAGCTCCCGGGATCCCGACTCCACTGCAAGCCTTTCCCACAGGAGGAGATGACTTCGTTAAAGGTGGTCGTGTCCGGCCTCGAGGGCTCCCCAAGCAGTTTGTTACGGCCTAGGGCTTGGCACAGGGATTCAGGGCCAAGGAGCAGGGGGAGGGGGGGGATCTGGAGCAGGTTTCGAGTTCGACTTGGCAGTCTAGGCTCCAGGATGCAGTGCTCCCATTGCTACCAGCCATGAAGCGAGCAACCAGTCATGTTGTGTAGATAACATCCCTTCACTCCCTTCATACACCCAAAAACAAGCTGCTGCGATGACGATCCGCCCCCGGAACCCCCAACGGTAAACCCGCCTAGAAGCAAGACTTCCAATGAATCCTGTCTGCCACGGAAGGCCAAGTGTCCAGCCAGGTCTTATGACCCGCCATATCCGTGAAAAGAACAAGGGACTGCTCCCACTTTGACGCCTGCGGAACTCAAAGCCCGTGCTTGGAGCCTAGGACTTGGGAATCTAGGCTCAGGTGGGTAGCGATGCCCGGGGCATGGGAGTTGAAAGCTCTTCTCTGTGAACGGAAACAAGGAGGTGAAGCAGCCACCTTACAGACCCCAAAGCCATGACCAAGAGCCTATGAATGCTTCCAGGTTTAGGGTGGGGGCATCTGTGTACACCGTAGGCCAAGTGTCGGCTTTGGGCTGAGGGTTTGAGCACTTTGGGGTTCGGAGGACAGGCAGGCTTCGCAGTGCATAGGGCCCTTAGCTGCATCAGGACCTCCCTCAACCGCCTCATATCACCGAGCCGAATCGGGTCTCAATAGATGCGCCGAGGTTTCGGGCTGGGGAACACCCTCACCCCAGAGCCAGGGAATCTCTGCTGGGACCTGCCCGCAAGCGGCAATCGTGGCAGTGTGGGTTGGCCTGTGAGGAGACGGAAGCCCGTTTAGGGTTTAGGGATACAGACCCTCATGCTCAGATCTTGCGGATGCTCCTATGGAAACAGGCTGAATCCAATCCAGACCCTAAAAAGGACTCATGCTTCTGAGCAAACAGAAACATGCTGGATGGGGCTTCCGATTTCACAGGTTCCGCTGTGAGTTGCGTTCTATATCCAACATGATTAAAATATGGTCAAGGAAGCACCCACTTCGAATGGAGAGCTGAGGGTTCTCTGGTTCAGGATTGAGGTGTTAAGGTCCCAGGGCTCCGTAACTGTACCGAGCAGGGCGCAAGCATCCAGGGGCCACACACGTCCGGCGAGAGCATCGCAGTTCGCGCATCTTTTAGCAGCTGGAGCGCCCGCTGCCACTGCATGCTTCTGGCAAGGAAGCGAAGGGAGGATTATGGAAAACTCTCGGCTTGAGTATCTTGTCGGATGGCATGGCACCATGCGATCTCATGAGACTCTCCTTGTAGACAGGTACTGGCAACGACGTAACTAACACCCCTAACAAGGATTTGTGGGCTTACATCACGGAACTTGCAAGGGAAGAAATAGTTCGTCAGCATTTCAAGCAGTCTGGTTGCTTCCCGATGCCAAGACGAAGCCCAACATGGCCTCGTGCAAGTCAATATGACCCCCGCGTAGGTGGTCATGGAGCAGGGCAGCCCTGACGGAGGGTAGGATATGTCTGCCGGGCAGGAGGGAGGCTGAACAAAGTCAAACCAAAAGCCGAAAAGGCAGCCAAACTCTATAACCATCCTTGTCCATGATCGCAGCAAGAGGCAGATATAACTAATTCAAGAACTTGAACGGACTCGGCAAGTCGGTCAAGGCAGGCACCAGTTCCCCCAGAAGGCCTTCCACCCAGGCCTCTCTGAGGAGAGACAACGCTCTCTCCCATCCTGATTTTCAGGAGTTTAGGGTTTAGGGCTCAGCTTGAGGATTCCGAAACTCCCGGCTAAACTCTGCAACCCTCAGCCCAAAACAGCGTCTAGGGACGCGCACCGACATCGGACAACCCCAAAAGCTGACGCGAAAGCCCCAGAACCCAACACTAAACCAGGGCTCGAGGAATCGAATGCACAGGCATCTATAGTACCGAATGGTATAATATAACATAATAGTATGGTATAAGAACATATTATATATTAAAGTATATTATATATAATATATTAACATCGAGTCCCGGAGCAAAAAAATCCTCAAAGCTGCCGAAGCGTCGAGGACTCAAGGACTCTGGGCTTCGGATTTTGCGCGGATTTTCGGAGAGCCTTGAGGACCCGACGGAGCCCTGAGCCTTCATCTCGAAGATGGTTTAGGGCTTTGGGACCCCAAACACTAAACCCCAAACCCTAGGCACTACACCCATCAACCCTGAATGATACAGTCCGGATTTAGCGTTACGAATTAAATCATATTAAACCCGAGACCCTAAAGTTTGCCTCGAAAGCCGAATCCCGACTCCCTAAAACCCGAAACCCCGGAACCCCAAACTGAAAAAACCCAGAACCCCAAGAGCCAACGACTCTCAGCCCCTGCGCACAAGAGTCGGCCTCCACGCCGCGCGTCGCTGCAGGCGTAGATGGCGGTGTTGTAGCCTTGGCTTTGCGAGGGTTGTACAAGGGCGCACAAGGGTTTCTTTTGGGTTGGGATGTTGGGCTAGCGAGGTTTGAGGACGTAGGCGTGAAGGTTAAGGAGTTTAGCGCTTGAGAGTTGAAGGCTATGGTTTGGGAAGGCTCGGTGTGTCGGGTTTTACAGCGACTCTGCAGCCACAGAATCTCGGAAGGATGAAATAGAATAGATCTCCAGGGCTTTCTCTCTCGCGTGCACTATGCAATCTCTCCGTGTTCATCAAACGCTACTACGTTACTACGATGTTGATGAGCGTTTTTGCTAGCTTGAGTGATCTTGCAAGGCGAAAGCATTTGGCAAATCTTATGACTGCTGACACGGCCTTTGAAGGCAGCAACTCATCAAGCATGTACGACTATACTTTGACTATACTGTGTAGCTGCTGCTGTTGTTGCTGCTGTTGTTGCTGCTGCTGTTGTTGTTGTCTTGGGTGTTGGTGTTGGTGCTGGTGCTGCTGCTGTTGTCGCTGTTATTGCTGATGAAGCTGTTGTTGTTGCTGCTGCTGCTGCTAATGCTAATGCTCATGCTAATGCTAATGCTAATGCT